CGTGTGGGCGCATGTACAGTGCGATTGAAACTTCGTGGCCCATGCACAGAAGTCGGTATTTTGTGGAAGAGCCACACTCAAGGGGCCAAAGAGCCACGTGTGGCTCGCGAGCCGCGGTTTGCCGAGCCGCAGTTTGCGGACCACTGGCCTAGACTCTCTGCCCCCATTAAGAGCTGGCTTCTATGGTCTAGTGAAGGGCCAAGGCGAGGGTGCCTGGCACTCCTGGTGAGCACCCACGCTCCTCAGCGCCAGCCCTGACACGGCCAGGCAGGCACCGGGCAGGCACCGCACTGGCTGACCAGTCAATGCGGCCGTGTTGGTCCCCTCGGGCTGCCAATACAAGATACCAACACTTGACAGGCCACAAACAGGAATGGGATGCAGGGGAGAAGGTGGAACTGTTACAGGATTCCAGGGCAGGAGGAATAGGGGAACTGAGGCAGGAAAGTTAAAACAAGGCCTAACAGTGTGAGCATTTTGCAGCCAGCTTGTAACTAACAAGCCATTATCTTCCCCAGCCAAGGCCACAGCAAATGGTTAAAAACCTTCCTAATGAGAGAATGCAGAAACGGAGGGGAAAAGGGAAAGTAAAAAAGGGCAGTTTTACTCCCTAAGCCAGCGGTTCTCAACCTGTGGGTTGCGACCCCTTTGGCGGTCGGACGACCCTTTCACAGGGGTCACCTAAGACCATCCTGGATATCAGATATTTACATTACGATTCATAACAGTAGCAACATTACAATGAAGTAGCAGCAACAAAAATAATTTTATGGTTGGGTCACAACATGAGGAACTGTATTTAAAGGGCCAGAAGGTTGAGAACCACTGCCCTAAGCAGAGAAGCCAGCAGCCTCAGGCTGGGCGAGATAAAGTTGCCAGGTGCTTTTCATGAATTCTGGGAAAGTCACCACAAAGTAAAAAGGGGCCTTGAGAATTGATCTGCACCAAAATAGTCAGCAGAGGAGTGTTGAGACCTATAGACAGGAGGGCATATAACGCCTCAGACCCCACCCAACGCGCTCTTCAGGTTAGCTGAGAGCCCATCTGTGCTCCATAAGCCAGACGCATAGGTTTGCTTGCTTTGCTTTTTCAATAAAGCTTTAATAAATTGGCTTTTCTCAACGCAGTCAAGGTCTCATATAAATTCATTTATATGAGAAGACAAGGATCAAGGCTGGGCACAGCCCTCTCCCCTGACTCAGGGGGCTGTCCTGTCCAGTAACACCTCTCTGGTGAGAGTTGCCTAAAACAGAATCAGGAGGGACAATGTCAACAGTGACCCCCTTGAGAATTTCTCACCTGAGACAGGTCTGAGCTCGGGGAGAGGAGATATTTGACATCAGATTTTGAACACCTGGAAAATGCTCCTATTTGCTGATATCTATTTGCTGATTTCCCCAAGATTTCATCCAGGGGAGAGAGAAACGAGCTCATGAAAAGGAGTCCTGAGAGAGAATACCATAGTTCTCTGCGTGCATGCTCCTGACCATCCAACCTGTTCATGAAAACACAGTTGTAAGGAAACATTTAATAGAAAGAGCCGACCCAGCTACAGAGTCATAGAAGGCTGGCCCTGAGGGGTGAGGGTCGAGCTGAGGGAGACTGGGGTGACGGAGGCAAAGCAGGCCTGGGAGGCAGGAATTTTAGGGGGATACAGGCAGGCTTAGGGAATGTTTAGAATTGGGGTCCATGGAAAAACACGGGGCTACAGACTGGGAGAAGGAACATTTCCATAACACAAGGAAGCCAGGTGCAGTTACATCTCCACAAGACAAGGGAGCAGCAACAGTTGCATTTACATAGGACAAGGGAACTGGGAGTAGCCAACAAGGTCTATATTTACCAAATAAAGAGAAGGAAGCCCAGAAAGAAAAGAACAGTGAGGGAGGAGGGCCTCAGGAGTCACTCTAGTGACTAATTCCAAAGGGAATAGTGACCAATCAGAGGGATATCAGGGCACAGGAACTGCAGCCTTTACAAACCGTGGAAACAGGAAGTCGGTGGGACCCTTTTCCCCTCCCCACATGGGAGTCTATTCTGTGGGACTCTTTCTCTCTCCCACGTGGGAGTCTGTACTTGTTCTTCAATAAAT